GAATGCCTCCAGGGATGGGGCATCCACAACCTCCTTGGGCAACCTGTTCCAGTGTGTCACCTCCCTCTGTGTGAAAAACTTCCTCCTAATATCTGACCCAAACCTCCCCTGTCTCAGTTAAAACCATTCCCCCTTGTCCTATCACTATCCACCCTCACAAACAGCCATTCCCCCTCCTGTTTATACGCTCCCTTCAAGCACTGGAAGGCCACAATGAGGTCTCCTCAGAGCTTTTTCTTTTCCAGGTTAAACGAGCCCAGCTCTCTCAACCTTTCCTCACAGGAGAGGTGCTTCGGCCCTCGATTCCATAACAGACCCCACTGCTCTTCTCCAGCATTCCTCGTGTACCCTACAGCCCACCAGCCATCCCAGAAGCGCAGTGCTTCTGCCGTGCTGGTGCAGGACCAGCCAAAGGATGAAAGCTGAAGTGTCGCAGGGTTATTTCGCACCCTGGGTGAGTCACGGAGCAGCTGTGCCTCCATCAGGTGCAATGCAAACCCAGCCCGGTGCCTGCTCCTTTTCATTAAGAGCCTTGAGATCACTGCAGAAAAGATGAAAAGGTCTGGTCATTACCCATTACATGTGACCCATTCACTTGCTGATGTGCTGTTTTTCATCTCCTTGCTCTGCCTGTAGGCAGGCATCCCCCAATACCCTAATCTGCTTTTTTTATTCTCCACCATTTATTTTCCTGGGGGCCTTGTCAGTCGCGGCTCCGCCGCTTCCCCGTGCCTTGCAGCGCCGCGGTTCCAGGAGCAGTAAAAGGTTCCAGCTCACGCTAACAAATTCCAGAAAGGCCGATCGTTTATTATGAAGCCGGCTTGGGGCAGGTTTGGGAGAAACACGATGAAATGAGAGCTGAGGAGATGGGAAGCGCGGCTGCATCCCGGAGACGAGCAGAGGTGAGAGGAAGGGGAGGCGGGGAGCGCTTGGAAACCCATTAAATGAGGGCTTATCATCGGCGTTATGTAAATCACTTCAAATGCCTTCTTTTATTAAAAGTATTAAGCCGCATTACTGTCTGCATTCGGTCTCCCTAATTTGGTTGCTAATGCCTAAGACAACTGTTGAAATTAATTTGAAATTAATGTTCCTCTATAATTACTTAATGAATCTCACATTCACTGCCCTTAGCTCTCCGTTGACAAAGGATCTCACCCACCGCATGGAAGAGGTTGGAACACTGACTGCGATTTTTAAATGGTTGCTAAATTATAGTTTGCAAATACTGCACGTTTATATCACACACTTCATCTTGAAGGATCTCAGTGTGTTTGAAATGTTATGTAACATTCATTCTTCAGTAAAATTCCATCACAAAAACTTTCTGGGCATCAATCTTCTTACTTCCCTGCACGCCTTGGAATTAAACCAAATTTAGCTGCATTATTATGCAAACACAAATTCATACCTGCATTAGAAGATTATTATTAGGGCTGTAAAGTCAAACACTTAAAGATGGGAAATGCTGGAACTGGGATTCTGTGCAGTATGAATTCCTTCTTCCATGCACACGTATACTCACTGTCCTCAGTTTTATAGGCGTGTATTTCCCACTCACCCCCTCCCCCTGGGACTTGTTAGTCCTCAAGAAAGAAACGGGGTAAGAAAAAAAACAAAAATCGAGAAAAAACGAGCAGAGGAAGTGAGAGACTTGTGGAGTCCTTGCCTCATTCATTACCAAAGCTGCAGAGGTCGTAATGCCTGCTCCTCCTTTTCTGGGTGGCTGACTTGATACCCCATAAATCCCGGTCAGCAGAAATGCTGAATGTGCACAGCAGCAACTGCAGCTAAGGAAACGTTTGTGCATACAGGGCATTTACTCGCTACCAAACCCTGTGAAACATGAGGTCCTGGGGTCTCACACTGAGCTCTTAAAATTAGCCTATGCTTCAAAGAGGGGAAAATACTTCTCCGTCTCTCAGGGATGGTGAAAAATGCCTTAGAACGTGGTTGAAGCATACAGACCCAACACTGCTTGCCCGTTGTGTGCAGCACAGCTCGGACATGGCCATAACCAGGGCAGGACATGCTGTGAGCCAGCAGCAGGCAGCAGCAATAGAAGATGCTCGTGCTGCTCCAAAACCTGGCAGGAGGAGGCAGTGGGAAAACACCAAGGGCTTTTTGGAGACAAAAGAGCTGCATTTAAAGCTTTCCAGACAACCTGCATTCTGCCTTCTCGCCATTTGAAGTGCCTGCCTTAGTCCTAACTTTGCATTTCTTCTTAAGTGTGTGCAGTTCCTTGAGGATCAAGGTAAAGTCAGAGCCCAGCTCATTAGCAATCACGGACCTCGCAAGGCTTTACCCGTGTTACCTCAACGGTGCTTTTCCTACGACATCCTCAGCATCTGGGCCACAGCAATGCAACCTTCCCTGCTGCCAACACGTCCCAGAGCTGCGTGCAGCAGAGAGCTGTAGATAACATGTGCACCACGTATTCGGCACGGTTCAAACACTGGCAACGGAATTGTGTCCAAAAGTCACAGCTCAACAAAGGACAGGCTGGCATGGGTGTTAGGTCCCCAGGCACAGTGCTACACCCACTTCACTGTGACCTGTCTCCTCCCAGCAGCTGGGAACTGGATCCCTGCAGCAATCCTCACCCCCGCAGTAATCTACTCCCACCCCACCTCCACACATTGGCCTACTTGCTCAACTAGAAAGTCCAATCTCTCCTGCACATGGATCTTTAGCAAACCTCCCTCTCCCCACCGTATGCCCACCTGTGCCAGCATACAATCATCCTCCCCAGATGTCTTCTCTCACTGTGTCCTCCCCCACAGCATTCCCATCTCCAACACTACATGCATTACAACAGGTAAATTGGGGTGAATTGCTACAATGACATCTTAGACAGCTTTCCCTCTAAAAAACCAGAGCATTCAAAGGTAAAAGGAAAAACAGGCAAAGAACTCTAGCTCCAGTTTAAAAAAAAACAACTGGATTTGAATATGTTTAGAAAGAAAAGCAGACTATCTGAAGAGAAAGGTTCCAAAGTCTTGAACCTGTGTGACCATCCAATAAACTTGAAAGGGAAAAGAATTTTTTTTAAAAAAGTGCCTGATTTTGCAGTACATTGCCATACCATTTTGTATGTGACCTGTTTATCTCTTCATAATGAATTCTCTAATGCAGATAGCATTACACAACCACATCAGCAAACCCACTTTCAAAATAGATTGCTGGGGATAAAAGCAAAATAGATTTACTTTTTAGCTGGGGATGGTGTTAGCAGGTTGTTATTGAAATACAGCCTAGACTTCTAATTCCACTTTTGTGAAGAAAGCAGAAAAGAGGCAACCGTGGCTCAGCAAAAACTAAGCAAGATTTCTTAAGGCAAAGATGCTTTTCTGTCTCAATGGCTTCCTCCTGCTGCTAGCAACTGATGGGATAGGGCTGCCTTAGCCAGGTTTCCAAATCCTATAATGGAAAGCAGCTGACCATACACAGAGATTGCTGCAGACATTCCCATAACTCATCTGTCATCTTCTTTTGGTCCGCCTCATTACTCAACTCCCAGTATTAACACATCAATAGCACCAGCGATCCCAGAGTTGTACTCAATGTACACTCGCAACCCCCCACCTCTAATTGAAGGATGCTTGCATTGCTATTTGCTGCTCAATATACAGACTTCGGTTATCCAACAACACATGAACACCAGCACTTTGTATTCTGCAGAACTGGTGTGCACTGGCCATGTATTTCAATCCCCACCAGTCACCTACTCGAGCTCCCTTTCTTTTCTGAAGCAGTACAGAATTAGTACCATCTGAAACATTCAGATCTGCAGAATCATTTCTGCTGTAATGGAAGGCCTCAGTCTCTATAGAGCTACCTTGAGAAAGCAGTAAGAACCCCAGCCTAACCCCACCATAAATACAGCACCACTTAAATTGAAGGGGTGGGGAGGAGGACAGTTGCCTTTGTCATCTTCCTAGCATTTTGCATTAACAAACACAGTTATAACAGAAGATACTGCTATTTAGTTAACAGGGTTAAAAAAAAGCACTTAGTACCATTAGAACATGTCCATCATCCAGCACCTTTATTCTGAACGCCCACTTTAAAAAACAACTGTCTTCTCCCTTCTGCAAAGAATCGATGAAATAGCAAGCAGCTGATTTGCAGGTAAGCAGCTAAGTCCCAGGAGTGCACACTTATATTTGTCTCCTGATAATAAAAAATATTTATTTGCAATCATGGCCTACGTTTCCAGGATTGCCTTATCTCCTCGTGTCTTTGTGTACGCCAGTTTTAACAGCTCCTTGGGGGAGAGTTCATGGAATTGGTAATGGATTTTGTAATTTCCACCTTCTGTTTTCTAGTTCAGAGAGTAATCGAATCCAGTCACTACACCTGTATCTATCTGGCAACTATTTGTTGGCCCCCATGAAATGAGTTGGAAGTTTGATTTCCGTTCTCAGCAGGCATTTGTGTCATACAGATGAACTGCTCTAACCAGCAAATTGGAGGCAATTTCACCAGAGATTCCCAGGATTAAATAACCATGAGAACAGAACTTTCCTCATCTCTAGCAAGGACTCTTCTTTAACAGAGTTGAAAAATGACAAGACAAAATTGTCAATTTTGGACTTCTGCTATAGTAAGATGCACTCTAGAGTGGGTTTTATCTTCTGAGGCTATCAAACTAGTACCCACATTAAATTACTAAGAAAAAAACCAAGTCATTATGATCAAGTCCTAAAGCAAAATAAGTTTCATTACTTCCCCCAGATCTTTTCTACCTGTGCTGCATTTGAATTGGAATACAGGAGTGTTTTCTCTTTCATGAGTATTTTATTGATTTTATGCTCCACATCACTTATAACAGAAATGTTCCCCAGTTCTCACTCTGGTTGAGCATATTTGATTCCCCATCACTGGAGCTGGTGCAATGACATCAGCTACTGAATCTATGAGGATCTGTGAACTCTGTCACACAAGGCATCTAAGAGCCAAAAGACAAGTTACAGTTTAGCAGAGGCTGAACATATGACTCAGGCTAAGATTAAAAACTTTATTTTCCATACAAAACAATAATAAATTCAAGCAGATAATGAACTAAGCGTCTTCTCATTTTCCACCGTTTCTCAGTATAGTCTGTCCAAAGTTCAGTGTTACACCACTCCATATCAGCAAAAGCTATGAAGTTTCCATCTTGTATCCGTGTTTTTCTAATTCAGCTCTGTGTAAAAGAAAATAAAGATGTGCACATTAAAATGCAAATATTTGTTCAAAATGCAAATTGCACAACATACAATCATTCTAGAACAGTGAACGTGACACACTGCCTTCTCATTCACACCATCAACCTCTGCTTTACTTATGTAGTTCTTCATGTGAACGTCTCAGGATCACTAGAAGTATATCTCATATGGAAAATACAAATATTTGCTCTAACCACATTTACTTGTGCCCTGATCTGCTGTGGCTGGTTGAACTACATGGTGCAGAGCAGCACCAGTAAGCCAGCAGCAACCCATTAGAAAAAAACAAACACCACAGCATTGTCTCATACTGTGTATTCTCAACATTTCCTAAAACTCAATGAGCTCACCAATCTGAGTGACTTAAATGCATGTACTTAAAATATATATATGCATAATTTTAAAAATACATTAATATCACGTTTAAATCTTGGTGCAATACAACAATTCCAAGGAAACATGATCACTTTGCTCAAGTTACTTATTGCTGGGACACCAGGTCAGCAACTGCCAAAGGTCACTTCTCCTCATCCATCTCCAGATAGCTTCTTATCTACCTGCCTCCAACACATCAGCCAGAACTACGCCCTGGATAGTCTTATATCCTAGTCCTAGCATGTATGTATCTATACACAACAGTCTAAATCTCAGGTTAGTTTACACAGCATTGGAATTCTAGAAGTGGAGGAATGCACCACTTCCTTTCTGAAGATGAAATAAAAACATGCTGCAACAAAGCAATAATGCAAACTATCATTTTAGGGCCAATGTGAGGATGCCAACACTACAGGCTATAATTAAGACATATATTGAAGGCCTGTCGAGATCAACTATGTTTGTTAAGAATTACACCACTCTTGTATTTCTCTGTGTGTCAGCATTACATTTCCAATATTACAATTTAACTACCTTCCAAACTTGTAAGCAAAGACTACAACAAACTAGTTTTGTATCTGCCACACAAAGGGTCACTTTCTCCCTTTACCAAGGAGATCATCCCAGGAACCGTTAATCAGGCAGTACTGCAGACATTTACTCTGCATGCTACATAATGAAGGACTAATTATGAAATGTGAATTTGTGTTCACTCTTGAAATAATTTAAATGACAATTACACAAGTAAATCATTAACTGAAATGACAAGTGACCTAGAGGATTATACAAGTGGATTAGAGGTTCCCAAATTATTATCACTTTTTTAAAGCACATTATAAATATTTACTCTGCTATTGCTGCTCATCACCCAGAAGAAAGGAACTTGAACAAATATGGAAAAGTTTTCCAGCAATCACCAGTCTGTTTGGTCAAAGCACAGCAATGCTATTTTGAAGGCACAGATTTTAGCAATAACTTTGCTTACCGTACAGCACAGCACAGAGAATCTTGGCTCCCTTGCCATTAATCTCTGTAGTACAATTCAGACAACTCAGCAGATTTTCGAGTTTCTGATATTAATAACTGAACAGTGCAGTTTTAAACATTTATCCAGATTCTACAATACTAAGTTAAAAAATAAAATTACCTTAACTGATTGGAGAAATCATCTTCTACGTTGTCGTCATCCCAGTTGTCTTCCCAAACATGTGCATCTTCATCTTCGTCTAAACCAGTCCAATCTAAAGACAGGAAGAGAAAGCTACATAGCAAATGTTGCACTGCTTTGGTACCACGTCTCAGTGACCTCTGGGTAAGGCAGACTTCAGATGATAAGGAATTTCTCACTTTTCTATTGAAGTTCAGATCATTCTCAAGTGTTCATGAGACCAAACAGCACAGTGAGATTTATTTAAAAAAAAAAAATAAAAATCAAACTCCTGATTTTTGATCAGAACACAACTTGGTACCCAAAGCACTGCACACCTCGCATCATGGCGTGAAGGTACTCATAAGGGCTATTCTGCGTTCAAATGGACAAGCTGTAGCACCACAGTACGAAAAACCATCATTGAGTATTTGATTCCTAGTTCAACAAAAGGCACCCAATTCCAGGTTTGTATTTAATATTTTTTCCTTGTGATTAAAAAGATAAATGCATATTGAATGCTTTATCCAGAGCACACATACAGATGCTCAGTTGACTCACAGCAGACGTTGACAGTCTGTGGATGCCACAAACGTATCTGCCATGCAGCAAAGGCAGAAGATGCACCTGCCACCAACAGTTGCTACCAACAACCTTCTACTTCTCCCTTAGTCATATGCCTGAGTTCAGGGAAAGCTTTGAGGACAAAGGGCCAAAGTAACATTAAACATGGACAGACATATGAAAAGCACCTTGTAGGATAAAAGATGAAGAATTAGTTCATTTCCCTTACAAAAAGGAAAGTTGGTTTTCTTCTCCTTTTAATGCTGACAGGCAATAAAATTAGCACTTGAGATTCACCCAGAAAGTAAATCTATTTGTAACCAATTAAAGACACAGATGCAGAAGGCATTACTATTAAACTTCTCAAATTATATAAAGGAAAAGAGATGGAGGAACATAGAAATTCTACTGGTCTTAAAGAAAGGAAAGGAAAGAAATGGGGCAGATGAGGAAAAACTGCAGTATGAGAGAATGCATTATTTGAATTTAGTTGTACCGTTCACTGGCTAAAGGGAGGGATTTTATTTGATTACAATCTACAGTAAGCTTTGCCAATTTGTGTGCAATTGACATTTTTTTCCAAAACAAAAATTTAACCATTGATGACTATTTGGACTGATACAAAAAGCAAAGCTCAGAACAGCCTTAACCACTATCAAAGTCAAGTTCTACCTACTAATGTAAAATAGCTCAAAATGGTTTTCAAAAAACCACAGCAACTAGCATTCATCACAACAAATTCAGCTTCAATTACAGATGCTTTTTACAAGGGTGGATAGTGATAGGACAAGGGGGAAATGGTTTTACCTGAGACAGGGGAGATTTAGGTCAGATATTAGGAGGAAGTTTTTCACACATAGGGAGGTGACGCACTGGAACAGGTTGCCCAAGGAGGCTGTGGATGCCCCATCCCTGGAGGCATTCAAGGCCAGGCTGGATGTGGCTCTGGGCAGCCTGGTCTGCTGGTTGGCGACCCTGCACGTAGCAGGGGGTTGGAACTGGATGATATTTGAGATTCTTTTCAACCCGGACCATTCTGTGATTCCATGAAAGGAGCATTGGAAGAATGCTTCAAACAACACTAAGTACAGAAGAGGCAAAAAGGCCCACACTGCCTTCCAGAGCAGAAAGGAGAAAGGGAGGGAGGGGAGAGAAAAGCAGAAGTAATGCTGAAATTACACTCTCCCTGCTGTAGCTACAAGATTCTACAATCTACAATTCTGCAGTCTGTGTGTTGACACCATAGCCCAGAATTACATACAGCTATTCCAGCTCTACTACATGCCTATAAGTAATGGTAAAAAACAATAAATATAGCACTATCTGGGACTGGAAATGCAAAGAACATCTGAGAGCCTGCTACTACTATTAAGTACTGCTGCTACACACCAAAATCACAACATCCATTTTGATAAACTTGTCATTCCTTAAAAAATTATCTGGATATAATGCAACATCTCCCCATATTTTTCACTTGGGACAGGACAACAAAGTGCTCTTTAGAGTAGATAATAAAAACCAAAAATCCCACTATTTCACACATTACATTCAGAGCAGCACTGTACAAGATGCTTTTAGCGACCAACTCACATACACTTGAACGTATCATGCTGTATTTCTTAAGAACTGGACACTGAAACTTGCTTTGACATACTGTTTCAAGAAAAAGCCCACATTGAAATAAGATTTCCCAAATGCCACAGTTTCTGTCCTTAACACAAGTCTGCATTATCTAACTTGCTTTGGATTGAAGGGAAGGGCAGTAATAAAATGTAGTTATTCTGCTGCATAGAAAAAGGTATTTTAATTTGAAAGAGCAGTAACTTGGCATGAGTTTGATCAAATATTTATTATACTCTTTCCCAGGTAACTTCAGATAATCTTCCAGGCAGTTCAAACCTTCTTTATAACCTCTCAACATTATTATCTCACTTGAAGATTTCATTGGGCCTCTTTAGCAAGGTACAGCAGCAGGAAGTCTGGCTGTGGCTACTCTTCAATAAAAGTCTGTTCCACTCAGAAGTGTGAAGAGCATCTCCAGTTACTCAGCTTTAGGATCACAGCTAGATGCAAGTAGTATTAATTTTACCTTGCTTGTTTTGTACACAGATGCATGTTGAGTCTAACAATCAGTTAATTCAGTCTGATTCGCTGGTAGTACCATTTCCTCCAGTTTCAAACACAGTTTTATAGTTTAAACTTTACTTGACTGTTCAAAGAACTTTTTCTCAGGCAGTGAAAGGGGAATATGAAGGTAAGATCGTGAAAAAAATTCTTTCTGTTGACAAGAAAAATTTCAAGGCACAAAATGTTGAGATGAATATCAAGATTCAAATCGTGAGCACTGAGCTGTGAACCTCACCACTCTGCGAGACAGATGAGCAACTCACGTAATGGCAGCTCAGTGTGCTGACCAATCCCAGGTTCATATGCATGCTTTAAGACTTCCTTCATCCTTACAGTCAATATTTATATTTAATGATAATAACTGTGTTCACCCTTTTAAGAAACATATGGAAAAGAAAGCAAAGGGCTCATCTTCTCTGTTTATTTTAGGTCTAATCTCTGCTATGTGCAAATATAACGTCGGTACACGTAGTGCAGTACTCTGCATCCTGATGGGCCATAAGGCCACTGAGAAATCACCTCTGAGGAACACTGGACAGAAAAACAACCCCAGACCTTCCACCCATGCTGCATATCACTTATCGCCACTCGCAGCTCAAGAGACCTGCCAGAACCGGGGGCAGAGAACCAAACAGGGTCTTTTCCAAGTCCGCAGCTGTGACAGGCCCTCGGGCTGCTTTGCAGAAGCACAGATTCCCGTAGCTCCCTCCCTCAATGCATTTTGCACCAACAAACCAACACACACCCGTGCCTGCAAGGACGATACTTAGAGCATCTACAGCGTGGGTTGCTCCCTTCCCACACGGGTTTCCACCTCGCAGCTCCCGCCGCCACCTATCCCCTCCCACCCGGACACGGCGGGCCCCCGCGCTCCGCACGATGACACAGCACCGCCGGGCTGCGCGTCCCCTCCTGCCTGACCTAGCGCTCTCCGAGCAGCGAGGACCCGGGGCCGCCGGCCGCTGATGCAGCGAGTACGGCCGTGTCCCCGCGGGGCTCTCGGAGGCACGGCACGGTACGGCACGGCACGGCACTGTACGGCACGGCACTGCCCCGCCCGCAGCAGGCCGCGCTCTCTCCCCGGCCCGGCCCGGCCCAGCGCGGCCTGCTGGCAGGCGGCGCGGCCCACAGGCGCCCGCCGTTCCGTTTCTCCCTCCCGCCTCTCACGGCCCACTCGGCACCTTCAGCCGGAAACTCCTCGAACTCGTCGTCTTCCTCCAGGAGCCCCAGGTCCACCGGCTGCTTTTTTTCCGACATGCTCGGCCCCGCTGCCCGCCGACACTGACGGGATGGCGGCACGGCGCTGCGCGGCCCCCACTGCGCCTGCGCCTCAGCGCCGCCCGCCCGCCTCTCAGCACCGCCTCTCGGCGCCTCCCGCGCCGCTCTCACAGCGCCTCCCTCACAGCGCCCCCCCACAGCGGCACCCGCGGGGCCAGGCCCGTCCTGCCTCGGGGGAGCGGCTTGGGGCTCCGCGGGTCGGGACCCTAAAACGGGACCCGAGGTGCTCGTTTCAGCCCCACTCCACGCTGAACGCGCGTCCTCGCTGTACTATTTCACTCTGTTTCTGTTTGGGCTGTGAGAATCGTGAAAACTCCAGTTTTGTTAATCAGTGTATGGAATCTAGGCATTAATGTTGTTGTACGTTTAGCAAGCCATGCGGTTTGGACTATCAGATATCCTTCTCTATCCGCAGAGTAGTAGGCTGTCAGGTAACAAAAGCTTGTAGAGGTCTGCGACCTTTCAGCTGCTGCCCTCTAGACTTTCCCTTACCCGGAGTTGACTTTGCAGCATGCTCAGCAGCATAAAGATGCTCGACTGCACCTAGGTTATCTAAGAAAAAAGAATTGACTTGGAAAGCACTATTGACAAACAGATTCAAATAGCTGTGGAGCAGGAAGCAGCTTGAATTTGTTCTGGCAACTTTACCTATACGTCTGCTGTGGAGAAAAAAGATACTTATGCCTTCATAGTTATCTGTTCTACTTGTAAGATTGATTTAAAACAGTGGATTTAAAACAAACAAAAAAAAACTTTAAAAAAAAAAAAAAAAACCTAAAACAAAAAAGACCTTTAAATCTGTTGTTTTAAATCTAATACCACAGGCTTTGGAAACCAGAGGTTTGTATTGCCTTATGTGGCCTTTCTCCCAGATGGCTTCATACCTCATTGTAATCCCACTAAACATTTAGCTCTCTGCTGGTAATGTCCCCAGGGACACCGGTATCTGCCATATCATGTCTGTCTTCTTAACATATACCTGTCCTATGCTACCTGAAGGATCTGATCTGCACAGCATTCTCCAAATCAGACCTTACAAGAAGTGATCGTAAGAGTTGGATGATATGAGCGACATCCCGTATTCTGAACCACGAGACTGTACAGAAGACAAGCAGGAAGTACTTATCCTTCTGCAGCCAGGTGTTAGGAAAAAATTTTTTTTTTATTTTATTGCCAGTCTTTTGCCTGTGATGTGGGGTCTTACGTTATATATTCTTAAGGTTTCTTACTGGTCACTGCCTATTCAATCTATGGGCCTTGTGTATCCCATACCCTTCCATCCCTAGGAAGCAAATAAAGAATTTCCATGTCCTTATGCATTAAGAAAAACCATCTCTGAATTCCATGAAGTGATGCAGTTTTAAGAGTCAGGTGCAATTTTTTAAAATATGTATTTATATATATAAAGCGCCTATCACCTGACTCAAGAGTTTTGGTGGACCTAGCTCCACTGATGTCTCTGAATTCTTTAGAGAAAAGGATGTAAGGATTCAACTGTCCAGAATAAATTTTCCACTGTGAAAGCATATTTGAAAGGTTAGAGGAGAGTGCCTAAGACACAAGTACAATTGGCGTTTGATGGTTTCTAGATGGACCATCAAGAGTAAGAGTTGCCTTTCAGCATCTACCCCGTGCAATCAGAGTGGAAAAAGGCCAGTGATATCTAATCAGGACACACTGCCACTGTGGTTTTTTTTATCCTTCCCTTGTTGCAGCATCAGGGCCACTTGCAGTCCTTGCAGTCACCAGGCTTGTATCCCATATGGACTGCAGACACAGAGCAAGGAATAGTTTTGATCAAGTTGGGAAGGCACTTCCTGCATTCCCAGAACAGAGTAAGAGAGCTGCTTTTCTGAAGCTTTAATCCCTGCACAGTAACTGGGTTGTACATTGAGTAGGACCAACAGCCTGACATTCCTGAGTGCTTCAGCAGGGAGGTCTACACTCTGTTCCATGGTAATTAAAAGAAAAACCTTTAACTTTCAGTGGTTCAGGATATGACCATCCCAATGAAAACCTTAACTTAAATAGACCCTTAACTGGTAGCATGTTGGAATTGATTGAACAAGACAGTACTGAGTAACTCATCAATCCTTCTATTTTATTTTTTTTTTCAAAACTGCACAGAAGCTGTTTACTAACTATTATTTCTTTTATTTTTCTTTAATTTCCTTATATTCAACATGTTTTATGCATTAGCACTAGAAAAGCCTGTCTTTTTCTTGGCAAATGTTACTGCAAGTTGTCTAGCAGGGAGGTGAGATTATGTAGATTTATTTATTCAGAGTTTAATTTGCATACATGAAAAATGGAAGTAGAGCTTTTATTTTCTTCACAGTGAAACAAAAATGTGTGCAGTGCAATAGTTCAGACTTTTAAATTTTTTTCAGATGGACAAGTAATCATTTCAATGCTGGGGCCCATCTTCTTTGAATTGGATGTGCTAATGGCTGAGGGCATATTACGAGGAAAAGATTAACAAGAGGAAATAGATCAGATTATTAATGAATTTGCTTATAAGCTGCCTTAGTTAAAAAATGTCCTGCTGAAAAGGAATTTCAGAGGCATATTAAGGACTTCAGATGCTCTGAGTAAACCATTGCCTTGGAGGTCTACATAGTCCCAGGCTATCAGACAGTACCTAGTAAGAGAAACTTTATACTGCAAGAGAATGCTCATTGTGTGCATCTGATCCAGCTGGTCTCATGGGCATAATGTGGAATCCATGTGCATGGGCACTGCCTAAAGGACCAGCTGAGCCTCTGGATGCAAGAGGTGGACACCCCTCTGGGCCTTACAGTGCAGGCTGGTAGATATCCAGGAAAGCAGTCAGTTCCCCAAGACAATACGGAAGATCTTGCTACCAAATGCTTTTCATTCAAAATGCAAGAATTCACCATGCAATACAGAGTATCTATCCTGCATCACAAAGCGTATCCAGCAGCTCAAGCAATCGTTAGTTCATCCTCCAGAACTCATGTTTTCCGTCTCAAGATAACACTGCAATTCATGCTATAACTTTTTGGAATAAATTGGGGAAGAAAAGCATATCCTACTTTCAGCAGATCTAGACATCAAAAATGGATTGCCTCACCTCTTTCAGTCTGACTCTGTGCAGATCTGGACTCATGGCACTGTTCCTGAGATCAGTGCCTTTGCCACTATTTATTTGTTCATGTCTGCAGTGGTTCTCCTTTTCTCTACAGCTGCTCCATCATTCACTAGCATCTCCTGGTAGCCCACCCTGCTCCCACAGCCCATCTCTTCTCACAGTTGACCCTCGCTGAGGTCAGTATGTGATTAGGTGGCTGGAGATCATAAGGAATATTAATCACAAGGAGCACTTAGATGTTGCTTTACAGACTTCCTTATGTGAAATACACTGGCAAGCTATCAGGTTACCGGTGGCTGAAAAAGAAACAGCTTTCTCTTTACCCTTGACAGTCAAAAGAAAGTTTGATTTATTTTCTCATTTTCAGTTAGTCCAAAGGCAGCTGGACAGTATTGCTGCAAAACTCTAGCTGTGTGTCATTGTAATAGGGGCAATGTGTTTGTTCACTTCTGCTCTCTTCCTCTGTCTAATTGCTCTATTGTCTTTCAGTTTTCTCTCCACATTTGGGCTGACAAAATGTCTCCTTGGGTTTAGCCCTCTAGCCAAAACTTAACGGGCTCCTAATCAAGGACTAATACCACCAGCAGGCTATTTCCTGTCTTTGTTTATCATTCCTGGTATCATCTTTCTTCTCCTCTCAGTTCATCATTTAAAATTTTCACTGTTATTTTCCTTCAAATCTTCCTCCATTCAGAGTGCAGGAAGCTTCCTATACACCACTCCCCTTTAATTTTCTTGGCACTTGATCTCTGGGCTCCCAACTATATGTCCTGGAAGAGAACCAGATGCATTCAGAACCAGATTTCAAACAGCTTTGTAACCCTTGAATACTTGTAGCTATGTCAGCAAGATATTTATTACTGAGCCTCAGTGCAAATTGTATTGATGCTTTGAACATAGGACTAATTACTAGGTACTGTTCACCACGACTTGCATTCCCTGCAGATATCAAGACAGTCAGGGTACAATTCAGTTGCCTAAACAAAAATTTCTAATGTCATTTGAGATGCTCTAAAACACAGGACTGCATGATGTGTAATCTGGGAGACCTTGACCCTTCCCCATGGCAGCTGGAGATGAAACAAAATACCCCAGGTTTTCCACAGTGGTACCAGTTGCTTGTGTTTAAGGAATTGAATTGCACTCTCACTGTATGATGGAATAACTGTTATTGGTGTTTAAGTGTCTTTTTCCTGTTATTACACAACTGCCTTTGTTTATCTCTGCCAAGACTGTCTTGAGAATACTGAACTCATATTGGCAATCTCAATCCAAACTAGATGCTGGATGGCTTAGTATGAATCATTAGGAACCAAGTGAACAGAGAAGGCGTTTTTTTTTCATATATAAATCATCCTTCTACCTTTACATATCTGCATAGTGGCAAAGGTATGGCTAAGATCTATCTAGATGAATCTCAACCCAAATAAAATCAAATGTTGTAGCCAGGCAGGAATTGCCAAGTGTTATTTTTGATGTGTGATAGCTAAGCAGGGCTACTGCCTGTTAGATGTACTGGCAAACAGAAAGACTTCACTGATACCTAGGTCAAATCAAGGGAAGGTATCAGTTCCTCATGATCTTACATAGCTTGCTTCCCCAGGAAGTCCCTCTGGACTTTCTGTTCAGAAAAGAGAGAAACGGGCAGAAATGGGTGGAGATTCAGAGCACTTGGCTTAAGTATCAGTCCTAAAACATAATTTGAAGGGATCTGTTTCATTTCTGACTATATTAGGAGCCAAGAATGATTTTCCCCATAGTTATTTGTGGAAGGTCAAGCATGTGTAAATAATCTCTTACAAGTTCACATTGTCCAACCCTTCCTCTCAGTCCCTTCAGTGAGGTAGTGGGCAGCACAGGCAGTTTGGGATAAGGCCTGGTGGTTTCTGCCTTCTGCCTCGCTCCTTTTCCACTGCTTCTTACTCTATTGCTTCTCTGCCCC